CACACCACCATTATCTGTTATATAATACCAGTCAATTTTTAAATAATTTTGAGTGCACCTGAAGTCTTTTAATCATCATCCTTACCACGACCTCTGAACTGCAGAACTGGAAGGGATCCTATATAGATTATCAAGTCCAGCCCCTGTCAAGGAGACAAACTGGGGAATCAAACTCCTAACCTCTGGCTCCTAAACCTAAACCCCTGAGCTCTCCAGCAGTTTTTTAAATAATCTTAGACCTGTAGAGCTAAAAGGGACTGTCAAGAGATCATCAAGTCCAGCCCCTGTCAAGGAGGCAGTGGGGGAAATCGAACTCTCAACCTCTGGCTCCTCATCCGGATACCTAAACTGCTGAGCTATCCAGAGTTCTTTAATAATCTTTGAACTGCAGACCTGGAAGGGATCCTTTGGATCATCCAGTCCAGCCCCTGCCAAGGAGGCCCAGTTGGGGGAATCCAACTCCCAACCTCTGGCTCCAGGGCCAGAAACCTAAGCCACTGAGTAGTCAAGACACAGAATACAGCGCCTCTAACTTCAACCATGTTTCCTCCCTCATTTTTGGGTTAGTTTCTTTGCTCCTTGTTGATCCTCCTGCCTGGTGCAAGCCTTCGGGGCCTCTGGCTCTGCGGGGAGTTGGCCTCAGGAAAGGGGGTGGCCGTGCAAAGGGTGGCTTTCGAACTGTTTCCTCCTTCCCACCGGGCGACCGTCGTTTCCCGCTCAGCCCTGCCTGGTGCAGCCAGCCTGCCCGCCTCCCTTGGAAGAACACAGAGCGGAAACGTGGTCCCCCCTTTTCTCCGCGGGTTGCCTTCGAGGGCGCTGGACTTGAACCCCGCGCCGTGCCTTTCGGGGCGTCTTCTGCCCTCGCCCCCCCTTCCTTCCCTGCGTTTACTCACCTGGCCGCGTGGCTGCGGGAGCTCCCGTTCGCTTTCGACGCCGGCCGGCCCGCGAGGCGAAGCGAAGTGTCGCCCGGGGCCCGCTCGCGCCTTTCTGCCCGGGTGTGTGTGTGTATGAGTGGGTGGGGGAGCCTTCCTGTGCGGAGTCGAGAAGCAGGCAGGCTGTCCCGCGAGGGAGGGAGAGGAGAGGAGAGGAGGGGAGCCGGTTCCCTAAACGGATGCCTTGAAGGGCCGAGCGGCTTTCTCTTCACTCCCCTCCTCTTTCTCCCTCCTCCCCACCCTGCCCGCCTTTTTCCTTCCTCAGGGTTTCATACGCCAGTCTCAGGGCCTTTTTCAATGTGTGTTTTTATTATTATTATTTGGTCTGGGATGGTGGCTGTTGTTTGTGAAAAGCAGATTTTCCAAATGACTTGTCAGGTTGCCTCTCCAACCACCCACCCCCCAACAACACACCCACACTCAGGAAAATGTATTTCTTTAAACTATCGTTTACCCCGCTTTAAACTATCGTTTACCCCGCTTTTTCCCCCCAAAAGGACCCAAGGCAGCTGACATCATTAAACGACTGGTTTTAAACACAGAGAGAGAGAGAGAGAGAGAAGAAAAGCAATACTGAAACATATTCAAAGCAGTAAGGGACAACATGCCATAAAATAAACCTCATTTAGGCAGCCGGTCATGGAGGGAAAGCCTGCCTGAAGAGAAAGGTCTTTGCCTGCTTAGGAAAAGGGGCCAGTCTGGCCTCCTGTGGGAAGGAGTTCCACAGCCTGGGACAAGACTAGGCCAAAATTTTTAGGTTCAGTAGCTGTTTTTGTGTTTGGTGCGCTTGCAGTCAACAGGATGTGCAGACTTTCAGTGTTGACCAAGGTGAAGAAGAGGTTTTGGTCAAGAAGAAACCGTGAATAGGACAGTTAAATTTAGGCACGGAAATCTAGCACTTTGTACCCTGATAGAAATTGTGTTACATGACACTGCCTGTTGTTTAAGTTCTCCACGCATAGAACTGGTTTCTATTTGTGTGTTTCCCCTCAACTGCACATTTTGTGTCTAATGATGTGCTAAAAGGAACCTAGTGTGTTCCACTGAAACTAGAGAGACTTGCTTCTAAGTATATCCTGCCAAAAACAAAGGAAAAGTTTTTAAAAATATATATTCTAAATAGATGTCTATTATGAGAGCCAGTGTGCCCCAAGGCATAAGAATGGCAGACTTGAGTTCAACTTTCTTTCTGCTCAGACATGCAAACGCACAGGGTACTGAACTCCATAGAAAATAATAAGATTTTTTTAAAAAAAAAAGATGCTGGGGTTTACTGTTACTTTCCAAATCACACACCTCATACACACCTTTATATCAAGAAGTAGATTGGAAATTCTCAGCAGTTAGAGAAAGGCACTCTGCTTATACTCAGGCACACTACTCACAACACTTACCTAGGTCTAATTACAGAATACTGTATAAATCACAGTGCCCAGTAGTGCCTTGCTTCCATTTTGTAAACAGGAGTGTTGCAATTGGGTTCTCTGAAGGGACTTCAAATCCAGCAAATACAAGGCTGCCTCTTTCTTGCTCCTGGAATGCCCTGTTTGGAGTTTCCTTCTATAGTCCACAACCTCTGGAACAGATAAGCCCCACCATCAACACCCAAGAAGCTCCTTGCTACCACTGAAAGCTACTGACCATGGTCACTGAAGAATTTTGGGAGTTGTAGTCAGAAAAAAATTACTATACTGTAACTCCCAAATTTTACCACCATCTGCTATCCAGCTGTGGACATCCATTTCCTAGAAAAGCCTTTCGCACATCCAAAAACAATAGAAATGCAGTACACCAGTCAATAGGAGATACCATTGTTCCAAAGCCACCTCCACAGGAAGCATATGAAGATCAGATGATCTGAGATCTGAATAACTTGTTGACGCAAGTGTATTGGACTATATAAAGCCATTAGGTATAAAGCCACTTCCCCCCCCCCCCCAGGATCTGGGAACACTATCCCTTCTTGTGCTATGAACATTCATACAGACAACTGGAAAAGTATGCGACCCAAGAGCAAGGCTGGGATGAAATGTAAGCCAAATTAATGGAAAACTGATGCTAATCAGGGCTGTGTCCTACAATTCTGATACACATAGTTCTGCAAAGGTATAAAAGTTACCAGTCAACAAAAATTGTTTTAACTTGCCTGCCCACACATACCTACTTTAATCATTTACGGAACATCAAGAGAGGGGAAAAACAAACTTACTTCCAGTTCACAAACACTTTTCCGAGTAGCTGCTTAGAAACAATTATTTCCCACAAATGATCTGTTAAATGTCTCTTTGAAATCCTGCTATCAACAAACAAGATCTTAACAGTAAAAGTGACTCTCAATATGCATTCCAATCTCCAAGGAGACACCAAAAATTACATAAATGATGGCCTTAATTTCCAATGTGTGCAAGGCAATGCTGGTAATTTTACAAAAAAAAAATACTCTTAGTATACAGGGAATGAGAAATGGAGCATGTTCACCCTGGTTTCAGAAAAGCAAGAGGAGCTAGAGATTGTATTGCAAATATACATAGGTTACTGGAGACATGTAGATGATTCCGTATTATTGGCAGTAAATAGCAATGATGTGAAACTACTACAGAAGATGAAAGTGGAAAAGCATGACAACAGTTGATTGTTAAGAAGTAAAGATAATGACTACAGAAGAATGACGAAGCTCAATGAAGAAATCATCGTACCTCAGACTGATGGAAAGAACGATATTTTTGTTCAATCATCAGTCAAAACAGAAGCTGCAACTGAGAAATCAGACGAGATTTGGAGGGGCCTTAGAAAAGACATTTGTGGGGAAAAAAGTCACTGGATACAAAGGCCAGGATCATCCATTCTATAGCATGTCCAATGGTATGAAAGCCATGGATGATGAAGAAAGCTGAAAGGGGGTGGGACTCAAAATGTGATGTTGGAGGAGATCTTTACTGATGCCATGCACCTAGAAATGAAAAAAAAAGCATGTTTTAGGTCAAGTAAAGCCTGAACTCTCACTTGAATTTAAAATGACTAAACCAAGGTTATTGTGTTTTGGATGTATCATAAGAATACAAGAATCACAGGAAAGGACAATAATGCTAGGAAAAGTGGAAGACAGTAGGAAAGAGGAGGTCTGAAAATGAGATGGATTGACTCAGTACAGGCAGCCATGGCCTTTAGTTTGCAAGATCTGAGCTAGGCTGTTAATAACAGGACAGTACTGTATGGAGGTCATTAATCATAGGGTTACCTTAGGTCTGAAGCAACTTGAGAGGGTGTAACAATAACTACTGTATTAAGATTTGAGTTCTGGGTTCCTTGAAAGGAGGGTTTGTCAGCTGAAACCACTGTTTTCTAGAATGTGACCATTCTGTGACCAAGATACATAAAGATGCTCCTTTTGTACAGTATTTACATTCATCATCACTCGTTTCTCTTCTTCTCTCCACTGGGTTCGAAAATGTGTGTTTCCTTTTTTAGCCTTTGCATTTCCCAATATTCCTTGTGTCATTTCTTTTCTGACATCTCATATTCATATAAAATAACTTCTGGATAATGCAGTGGTTTTTAAATCTGACTCTGGAGCCAGAGGTTGGGAGTTCAATTCCCCACCCCCACTGGGCCTCCTTGACAAGGGCTGGACTTAACGATCCATAAACTCTGCAGTTCTAAGATGATGATGATGATGATATCTAATACACTCCAATGTAATGCTCCTTTGCTACATTTGAGGGTTTGTTCCTCTTGTGGGGTAGTTGCTTTTGGGGAGAGGGAGTATAGTCTTGAATAATCAGTAGATTAATAAAGTTGTTAAAGAAAAAAAGAGTTTAAAGGATTTCCCCCTATATTTTAAATTTAGTACAGTGGGTTATCATATACATTTGTAAAAGAAAAGAGAAAAACCAATGCACTTAGGAATGGGAATTTGTTGACACCCCATCAGCAACGCCTAGCTATTCCTGGAGAACAGGTAAGGTGTCCCAGAACCGGAGACAGGCAATGTTGTAGCCTTGCTCTTCAAAGGCGTTTGTGGTGGAGGTGGGAGGAGAGATTAGACAGGCAAAAGATCAGTGAATCTGACTTCACGGTAGAGGAAGATCCTAGAAGGGGATCATAGCATGCTGATAGCAATGCAGTATTTTAGGAGTATGGAGTTATCAAGAATAAATCCTACCGGACTCATCTTCACTGCTTTTAAGATCAGTTCAATAGATTCGAGGGTGCTGAGAACACAAGAGATGTCCTGCCCTGCAATTTTACAACAGCTGGTTTTGCACACACAAGAGACCCTTTTTACCACCAATCCAGGGTTAACATCCCCTCCTGGCATTCCAGACAAGAGAGTGGCACTGTAAACTGTTTATTGTTTTCAGAACATTCTCCATTTTCACTACCTTCATTGGTTTTTCTTTGCTTATACAGTACTTACAAAATCATGTAGGTTTTTTTCCCCCTTCTCTACTACCTGTTGCATTTGCAGTAATCTACGCCCTCCAGTTTTTCGTGGTAAATATCATCTGTCCACATCACTTTTTGGATATAGTGCGTGATGCATGTTCATTAGTTTCTATGTTCTTTGATCCAATTCTTCCCATTCATTTCGGGTCCAATGTATTGTTCCAGCTGGGTATTTAATTACCAGAATGGCCCATGTGTTTATAACTTTGGTTGTATTTCCACCATTTTAATTTGATTTTAAGATTTTCTGCAATCTTTTGATGCATTCCCTTTTCATCACTTCTTGTTGTTGTTAAAATCGAAATCAATAAAACAAAAATATCCTAACCCTAACTTTAAGTTCTCCTCTAGCCTCAGAAGTATGCAACCACTGTACCTTTCACCATAGGCATCCTTCAGTCTCGAGAGACTATGGTGAGTGAAATCATGTGTGTTGAGAGAGTTTATTTATCAACTATAAGTCATTAAAATACATTAAAATAAAACAATAAGCAGCAGGTGAGATAGTTAATTAAAAAAGAAAATACAATAAGGCGTAAGCAGGAATCAAAAAGACAAATGTACAGGGAACAAGCGAGCTCGAATGTTAATTGCAGCCAAGGCAAAGTTTGCCACGTTTAAGGTGGTATTGACGTTAATGTCAGCCAGGAGCCAACAGACCTGGGCGAGATTAGGTCTGTCTTGGATGGAAGTCAGAGAACTTGCCAAAAACCTTAATC